CTTTTTAGCGCGGACCCGACGTCCATATAATTGTAAGTCAATGATCGTAATTAAACATTATTTTTAAATGTTCATTTCAAAGAAGATTCTTCGACCAAGCGTCGAACAATCAATAACCCCTCGCACACAAAACCAATTACCACACACAGTTTGAAATTAAAAAAAAACTTAGCAAATAAAAATATTATTCTCTTGTATGTTTATGTATGTAATTAAGTATTAAGTAGGTATAAATAAATTAATCACATTATTCGGAATAAGACCCATTCAGATTTTTTTATAAATATATATTTTTGGTGGTAGTGTTTGTGACTATCGGTGCGCTTGTGTTATTTATTAATTTTATGCGGAGAGGGGGTGTGAAAATTAATCGCATAAAAAAATTCCACACAAGCACAGCATTTTGCATGATTTTAGCCGGCACTGGGTTTACTTCCATTTTTATTAATATGAACTTGCACAAAGTAATGTCTGGATTTATTAATTTATTCCCACTTTTCAATAAAAATTAATGTTTGATAATGCAGTTACAATGTATTCATTTCAGGATTCGTCATGATGTGTACGCCTACAGCAACAGAAGAAGCTATCCTTCGAATCTTAATAAATCATGGTGCGTCAATCAATGATCCGAATGCTCCTGGTGAGCGGCAAGCTCTGCATTTCGCTGCCATGAGTAACAACTGTGATCTAATAGTGGTTCTCGTAAAATTAGGGGCAAATCTATATATCACCAATCGCAGGAATGAAACTCCATTGGAAGTAGCTGTTTCTTTCAAATGTAAAGCGGCAGCTGATCTTTTAAGAGAAATGATGTCAAGCGCGACCAACATTAAAATTAAATGTACATCTCTTGCGATGCAACAGTTAGATTCCCCGTCGATAAGCAGTGTTAAACTTGCCAAGAGGGACACTATAATTTCTTTTGACTAAATCTCACAGCCCTATATGGCCAAGATACAAAGCTCTTAAATATACGTAGGTAGGTAGTCAACTATGTTTATAATTATGTACTTTTATAATATGCTTCATTTGCTTAAAATGTAGTCTTAGTTGTACTTGATACATTTTCTTGATATATTACTATTAAATCTCAATACTGGTGTAATTGATTAGAATTCCTTACCAAACTATCACTTATTGACTAGGCTATGCATTAGACGAAAGCATTTTCACATTATTATATTATTACAATTCAAAAGGATACCTAAACAATTAGTTTACTAACAAAATTCTAAACACTCCCATAATGTAGGCGCTAAAGTGTTTATGTACGTTACGGGGGTCTACTCTTGATGTCCGTCCGTCATCCGTCCGAAACAATTACTGCCAAATAAGCAATACTTGACCAAATGAAAAGACGCGTGATGCGAATGAAGCTTCGTACTTGATACTTGTGTTTTTATTTTGTCGAATATTACTTATTTGACAGTAATTGTTTCGGACGGATGTCGGACGGAGATCGAGAGTAGACCCCCTTATAGGTTTGTAGGTGTTGATACAAGACAACATACCTATACACACATATGCCACTTTTGTAATAACTAATTAGTTGCAATGCCAAAGACATGCTCCCTATTGCACATGTTGAAATTAGAAGCTAGTTTTAATATGATCCTGCTAAATTTAAGTTGATAGTAAGTTTCTTCCGCTACCAGTAATCTATCTCATAAAAGCCAAGCAAAACAATCAATAAGTTTCCTACTCTGAAATAGTCATAGATTTAGTATATGGAAATAGCCATGTAAAAGAAATTTATCACTTCCCACTTCTGATTGTAAAAGGTGGCATTTATGTTACCCGATACAAAAATGATGCTAATGACCTTAATCATATGGAAACATATAGAAAAAAATATATAATAAAAAACAAAATACCCGGTTGTCTCTAGTTAGGTCGTCTGATACGCTGTGTATGTTTTGTATTTATGAATCACAAATCCTGCACAGACTGTTGGATTGGTATCCCAGCAGACCTTGTTTTTTAATCTTATATATTTATGTTAAAGACACGGACATTTAAGGTCCCCCACAAACAGAACCTTGATATGGTAGATGAAATATTTGTAACTTCAATTTACTGTGTCGCTCCAGAAGAACTTGTTATACCTATTCATTCGGTCATGTCTATAATAGCACAAGTGATACGCAAATATTTCGTAAAACTGAAATATAAGCCGGAGCCAGTGCTTTATGGCTGTTTACTCCATTTGTGTGCAATTTTGATTCCGTAGGAGTTCTCTGGACTTACAAGTAAATACTATAGTACCTAAAATACATTGTTAATGTGTATTTGTTCCGAGTACAACTCTCTAACAAGTACAGAATCATGGAAGTGACATTGGAAATGGCGGGCTTTTGAAGTTACAAGTACAGCTTTTACAAAGATTATTTTTATGTTAAGTATATTATGAAGAAAAAACGAAGAAAGAAATAGTGATGAAGAAAGTTAGAACTATATTCCTTATTTAAAACCAAATTACTATAGACTTTATCCTAAAATTTCCAATTACGAATTCAAAGTTTTTGTTCAAAGTGATAGAAGATAATGTGATTTAAGTGAAAGTGAAAACGTAAATATTGACTCCCGCCGCTTAAAAAATTATGTAAAAAAACCCGAATAAGTGAACTAAGTTATTTAAGAGAAATTGAAAACATAATCTATTAGAACTACAAAGGAAAATATTACCGAGTATCCGATAATTAAACGAAAACGTGGCTCAAAGGACTTGTGTCCAAGCCAAAACCATTAATAATAAAAAAAAATAAGGAAATGACATTTGTTCTACAGTTTCAAAGATGGCGGCCTTGTCGCAGTTGCTTTTCTTTGCCAAACAATACTAAGCGAAATAGTAAAACCAACTAAATTTGCACATTTATTGAGAAATCTAAGGAAATAATATAATATATGTCGTATGTAGTAATCATTTTGATAATGTGATAATAAGTATACCCATGGCTTCCAGTGTTCAAGACTCGCCTGTCCAGCAGACATTTGTGGAGGAGATAGATTACAATGAAATACGAGAATTATCGGTAATTATACTTGCATAGAATTGGTGTTAAATCTTTCTTGTGTTTTTTTTACTTCAAATATTGAGTCTGTTGTCAAAATATTGAGTATATTGTTGGTATATTGAGTTAATACTAAATTTGATTACGATGTTGGCAGGTTGTCGGAAAAGGCGCTTTTGGAGTGGTGTGGAAGGGTTTATGGAGGGGCACTTATGTGGCAGTAAAGCACATCAATTCTGAGGCTGAAAGGCGTGAATTCGCGATTGAAGTGCGTCAGTTATCGCGCGTGTCGCACCCGAATATAGTGAGACTGTATGGAGCATGTACACAGGGTCCCCACGTATGTCTTGTGATGGAGTATGCTGAAGGTGGCTCTCTGTATAATGTTCTTCACAATCATCCCAAGCCTAAATACACCGCAGCTCATGCTATGAGTTGGGCCCGTCAGTGTGCTGAGGTATGTGTTTTTGACATTTACTGTTATGCACCGTTATGAAAACTGGACGTAGTTAAGCAAAAAGGGTTCAATCCACATCCAGTAAATTTTTAGATACGGTACTTTGAAGTTCAAAAGAGTTTTCTCATTCTTGTTTTATTTTGAAAACTTACATATGCATGTAACTCTAAATTTGCCTATGTTTTTATATTATGTATGCTTTGTTGTGAATAGTTTAGTATTTTATGAGATATTTAGGAAAATATGGTTTTGGGTCCTTCTTGGTAAATTATATGTTTAATTGCAGTAGCTCTTAATTTTGTTTCACAGTAAAGACCCATTTATTAAAATTATTACTATTTGTTATTTATCTTGAATAAAACTATGAATATAGTGTAAAAATTCTTGTTTGTTTTTAAACTTTAAAATGTTTTGCTCTTAGTAATATAACAGAACGGACTTTATAATTAAAGTTTTACCTATTCTGAGATCAGGTTGAGTGTGAGTGAGTGAGTGTGAGATCAGTTTAAGTTCAACAAAAAGGATCCATGTTTAGGGTCTTTTTGGTATTTTTCCTGTTACTGTAATGAACTAATTAGGATTTAACAAAAACAATCTAGACACATTGAATCCTTTTTGTCATTAAACTTTCTTGTCCAGTTTCTTTGTTCAATTAATATTAATAAGGATTCAAGAAAATTCGATTCTTACTGTCAAATAGAAATATGGATCTGCCATATATGTGGGACGGTACTTGGTACTTGGTACTTGGTGCAACGGGCTGGTTTCCGCAACTCGACGACAAAGCGCCTATTTTGCGTGTGGTGGGTGCAGGGTCCTACTCGTGCCACCCAAGCTCCTCCAGGAATCTCAGCAGCCTCCTTGGTTTGCTGAAGACTTCGGGGAGCGACCTTGGCACTCCAAGGTACTTTGCCCTGTAGTTGGCCACGCCGGAGCATTGGAGTAGGATGTGCGCAGCCGTTTCCTCCCCCTCCATGCACGCTCTGCATAGAGGGCTGTCTGTGATACCTAAATTGAAAAGGTGTTTATTGTATGGACCATGACCCGTTAGGGCGGCAGTTAGAGTGCGAAGCTCTTGCCTTTTAAGTTTAATTAGTATACGAGATAGACTGGCATTGAGCGTTGGGAGTGCTTCCCTCGCCTGTCTACAAACCGTAAGGGTGGTCCATGTATTATTATGTGAAGATTTTGTACCTTTGTGTATAGTTGTTCTGGACCATTGGCAGGGGAGGGACACTATCGGTTCTGGTCCTACAGCGTCCGTCTCCGACCCTTTTCTGGCTAGTTCATCTGCCGCATCATTGCCACGTGAGCCGCTGTGTCCTTTAATCCACTGTAGGGTTACGTGGTTTTGTATACATACCTCCATGAGTGCTTGATGGCATTCGTAAATGAGCCCTGAGTTTATGTCATAGCTATTCAGTGCTTGAAGTACTGACATACTGTCGGAGAGTATTCGAATGGAGTAGTTCTTTACTCTTCTCGCTATGATTGCTTCTGCCGCCAACTTGATGCCCATGCATTCAGCCTGGAATACTGTGTTGTGGGCACCAAGCGGTGCTGATATCCTAATATTGAGGTCTTCTGAGAATACCCCAGTACCTGTTCCTGAGTTTGTTTTAGATCCGTCAGTGAAGACTCGGACCTCTCTGGGGTTCAGTCCTTCGTTGGGATCTTCAAATAATTGTATCTTGTATTTTTTGTCAAAGATGTATTGTTTTGGGATCCTATCCACAACCGCCTCCAGTAGCGGTTCCTCATTGACAGTCTTGTAAAGGATTTCTGTGTGTGGGGTCCTCATGTGCTTCCAAAGGCCGGCTCTGTTTAGACGCACTGCTGTTGACGCCGCTTCCTGTCTGATGAACAGTGGGAGGGGTCGAAGGTCCAGCATTGCTTCGAGGGCCGCAGTTGGAGTTGTCCTCATGCAGCCGGTCGTCGCCATGCAGGCGAGTCTTTGGAATTTGTCCAGCTTGTCGGTTGCAGTTGTCAGCTTGGTTCGTGGCCACCATACTACCGCGCCGTAACTGATCATGGGTCTTATCACCGCGGTGTAGAGCCATAGTGTTATCTTGGGTGAAAGTCCCCATTGTTTACCCACCATTCTGCGGCACTGCCAGAAGGTGATAGTAGCGTTTTTAATTTTGTTGTCCAGATGTTTGTTCCAGTTCAACTTGTTGTCCAGTATTACTCCCAAGTACTTGACTTCAGTTGATATCTGTAGTTCTGTGCTGAAGAGTTTGGGTAATCGGTAGTTACCTAGTAGTCGTTTGTTGGTAAACATTACTAGTTCCGTCTTTGTTGGATTTACCGATAGTTCATATGCTCTGCACCATCTTTCCACTATTCGGAGAGCAGCTTGTGTAATGTCGCAGAGTGTATTGGCATAATTTCCTGTTACCAGTATAGCTATGTCATCAGCATATCCTACTGTATAGAAATGTTCTTTGTTTAGTTTGATGATGAGGTCATTTACGACCATGTTCCACAGCAGCGGCGACAGTACCCCCCCTTGAGGGCACCCCTTCGCTACTATGGCCCATGGGGTCTCATTTGCTGTTGTTTTTATCGTTCTTTGTTTTAGCATGTTGCTAATCCAGCTGATCAGCACCTCATCCACTTCGTGTCTTCTCAGTGCTGATTGTATACTGGAGAAATTGGTTTTATCGAAGGCTCCTTCAATATCTATAAAGGTGCCTAGGCAAATTGCTTTGTTTTTGAGGGCCACTTCTATCTTGCCCACAACGGCATGTAGGGCCGACTCAGTGGATTTGCCTTGGCTGTATGCGTGTTGGTTTCCGTGTAGTGGTATGTTCTTAAGCGCACCATCCCTCAGTTCTCTGTCACATAGCCTTTCTAATGTTTTCAGGAAGAACGATGTGAGGCTGATAGGTCTGAAGGACTTCGCGTCAGTGTAGTCGTTTTTTCCTGGTTTCGGTATAAATATAACTTTTACCTCTCGCCAGCTGTGGGGCACATAGCTGAAAGCTAGACAGGCTCGAAAGATGTCGACCAGGTGCTGGACCAGTGTGTCCCCGCTCCATTGTAAGAGTGCTGGGAATACTCCATCTTGGCCCGGAGCTTTGTACGGTTCAAAGGTGTTCACTGCCCATTTTGTCTTTTCGTATGTTACTACTTGTTCAGCGTATCGCCAGTTGTGGATCGATGTATTATAGTTCATTTCTTCGTACCTGTCGTCTTGGACGAACCTACATCCTGGGAAATGTGTTTCCAGTAGGGTTCTCTCCGTTTCCGCAGGGGAAGTTGTGTATGTGTTGTCTATTTTGCGTATTGAACCTAACTCAGTTGAATTTGAGTTGCCTAGGATTTTCCTTATTCTGTTCGCTTGTGCACAAGACGTAATGTTCCCGCAGTAGCCTCGCCATGACGCGGTGCTTCTGAACCGTATGCGCTTTTTTAGTTTGGATTTGGCCGTCTTGTAGTTTTCCCAGTCCTCATCCGCGCATGTGTTCATTGCTCTATTGAAACGTCTCCTTACCCTTCTTCGAAGCCTCTCAAGCTCAGGCCCCCACCAGTGTTGGCCTTGTCGCGGGGCTGAGTCACTAAGTGGGCATGCGGAGTTATAGCTGTTCACTATGTTTGATGTCAGTTCCTTAACCTGTGTTTCTATGTGTGCTGTGTCCAGCAGTGTGCCCGTTTTCCCCAGGCTCTGGTGTAGTTTGTCAGTGTATAGTTTACGATCGGTTTTTCGGGGATTCCGTTTCGGTTGTTGTTCTTTAATGGCTGTTTCTAAGCTAAATCTTATCCATCTGTGGTCCGAGAAGGATGCTTCTTCGGACACGTGCCAGTCTTGGATAAGATTTACTGCTCCTTCTGATGCTAGGGTTAGGTCTATAATCGTCCTGCATCTTTTATTTACGAAGGTTGGTACAGTACCTCTATTAAGGATTTGAAGGTTAGTTGTGAATAAGTATTCTGTTAAGTTCTTACCTCTGTCATTTGCGAGTTCCATGCCCCACAACGGATGGTGGGCATTGGAGTCAGTAGCCACGACGATATGCTGGCCGTTCTGCTCGCAGTACTTGATTAGCCGTTCCATTTCCTGCGGTGGTGGTACATCAGTCTCCGCCATATAGACAGAGGCGAGCACCACTTCAGGTAGGCCTGTGGCCGTGTCAGCTAAAAGCTTGACGACACACAGGTCTCTGGAACAGAATTCTGTTAGTGGCTGTACATGTAAATTATTAGAGTAGTAGATGCAAGTTCGTGGTTTATCTGAGTTATTGGTGGATAATAGCTTACCTCTCAGATGTGAGAGTCCATTTATTTGGCCGCGGGCACTGATCCACGGTTCCTGGATCAGCGCCACGGCTGTGTTGTTTACCTCCAACCATTTCCGGAGCTGAACCGTTGCGGCCTGGCTGTGGTGGAGGTTGCTCTGGACGACTTGCAGTTTATTGAGCGAGGGGGATACCGCCATCGCCAGACAGCAGCTCCACGTCCTCGTCCTCGCTCAATCGGATGTCTCCCATCCCCAACGCACACTCGTCGTCACTAATGGACACCGCCGGGCATTCGTCGGTGTCCACAGGGTCGGGGGTCGGGGAGGGCCCTTTTCCTTCCCTGGTGATACCAGAGGAGGTAGAGGGCTCCGGGGAAACATCCATTCGTCCTGTGTCCTGTGTAGTTTTGTTTTCTGGAGGCGCGTCAGTGTAGAGGCCCCTTTTCGACCTGAATCTCAGGTAGACCGTGCCCAGTTGATATGTGAAGCGCCGGCCATGCTCCAGGATAGTGGGGACCAGATCTTCAGGCAGGCTCACTACCACGAAGGTATGCCCACGTTGCTGATTCAGCTTGTGGACAAGCCAACGGTGAGTCTCCGCCCACTTGTTTTGCCACTTGAGTATGCGACCTATTCGGCGCGCATCCTCCCATTTGCCGGGGAGTAGAAGTCCACAGACCACCCTCCGGGGAGCCTCCACCCCATTTTTCAATGAGAGGGGCTCCCCGGACGGCAGCCTGATGGTGCTGACGGCGTCCTCCAGCCACTGGAAAGTGGCCTTGTCGTGGCACCACAGTTTCAAGGCCCCATCGCCGTAGACGGGTTTTCCCCGAAACTGTGGGCCGACGTCATCCTCGCCGCATTCCTCAGCTCCTTGAGTGAGGAGCTCACATAGGGCCTCCTGTATGGTGTCAGCATCGGGGCTCCGTATGAATCCTGTTTTGGCCGAGGTAATAACCGCCATGAGTTCGGGGTTGGTTGCCTCGGCGTATGATTTATTCTGGGCGGGCCTCTCAACTTTCTGCCGCTTGTGCTCGCCTCTTGGAGAGATCGTCTCATCGAGGCGTGCCCGTTTGGCATTGGTCGAGGACCTCTGCGCCTTGTCCGCCGGTTTGCTCTTAGAAGGGAGGGGGGCCCTTCCAGGGGGTTGCGAATCCGGTCTAGGTAGCCGCTTTGGTGCGGTCCCAGAACCATCCCCGCCAGCCACTGGGGGCCTCGCCTCTCCCCCCTTCTGCTGGGTGTTGCTCGCGTTTTGAAGTCGCTCGCGCTCTCGGAGCCGACTCCGTTTGTTCTTTCGGGCAGGGCGTCCCCTGCTCCCACTGGGAGCTGGAGGTGGTCGCTTGCCCTGGCTACTTTCCCCTTTCAAGCGGATGGGTGCCGTGGTTTTGGGCTTGCGACTCACCAGAGTCCACCCTGCCTCAAGGGCTGTGTGCGTTGGGTTCTGCGATGCAGAGCCAGGTGTCTGAGCGGGGACCACAGAGCACGAGGCTCGGGCCACTACCGCTGGTGTTGGGCCAGCACCGGCATCGGTACGCGGTTGGCCTTGGGGTTTCCCCTTTGGCCTACCACTTACCGTAGGGCGCTGTTCTGTGTTTGATTTTGTGCTTGATGGGGCACTTTTGGGTTTCCCCTCCAGTACCACCGGTTTTGAGTGATTGATAAGATTAGATTGATCGGTAGAATCCATAATTCATTGTTCTTGAGTTCACTCTCCTGATTTCCCACCCACCACGGAGCCCGCACCTTTGGGGATGTCCCATTCGGGACACCAGGATTATCAGGAGAGTATAGGTGCAGAGGTTGGGAGCTCACTGCGCGACATCGGGGGCTCGAAATGTGCGGCTGGCTGACCCGATCAAAGTCAGCCAGGTGTTCCGCACATACTCACCCCGTCAGCATGGCCGAGTCCGTCCCCCCCACACCTCGCCTGTGGCCCTCTGACGGGACACATTGCCGTTTCCCTGTGTTGGCTAGTCACAGGGCTACCGTTTAGCAGGAAATCAGGGCCAAAGAGGGCGTATTGCTTGCCGGGGTCTCCACCCCGCTCGGGCTCAACCCTCCAGGATTCCTTCATCCCTGCGTACGGCGCTCAACTGCGTAGGCATGAACGCAGGAGGGTGTAGGTTAAGACCGCCCACCACTTGCCATGATCCACCCTCATAAATGCAAGGCCGGGTTGATCGCTTCGCGCCCTCACTGATAAGACTCAGACTGAAGCCGAGAGTTATTAATGTTGGCCCCAGGGTGTACCGGCTACATCCTTGGGCATTCTGTGACAACATGTCATCACAGACTGCTCAAGAACTTCGCACGCGTGGAGGTGGAACAACTAATACACCCCATGTGGGACGGTATCTTATGTGTCAAAAAAAAGTATTTTATTTGCTTTCTGCTTGAATCATTTCTACAAGGTAAACTTTAGGAACCGTTTGGTATATATAAGTCATTTTTGATAATGTTTTGGATTGGATTCTTTTTGCTTAACTACGTCCAACTATTCTTTAGCACAGGCCACACCACGCACAAAGTTAGCTAACTTAGCTTAGCTCACATAGTTGCATGTAAAGCTAAGCTAAGAACATATGTAGTAAGTAGTGACTTTGGACACATGCGGGGTTGAAGGGTGGCAGAAGGGTAACATATTTTTCATTGTTTGTTTAGTTTAGTTAGCTCGGTTAGCTTAGTTCACGGTGTGAAAAGATGCCCCGGCTGTGTGAGTGATGTAAGATGAGTGAGGTAAGTTAGTTTTGTTCATGGTGTGGCCTGCGCTTTAGGTAATTTTATTTATTACTCTACTTCCTCATTTCACTTATTGGCAGTGCTCTGTGTGATTGTTGTGCTAGGTTTTTGCCAGTATCAAGTTTTCCACATAATAATTATAAATATATTGTAAAAATTGTGATCACCTCTAATGTCCAGTTCCACCAAAACTAATTACTGTCCAGTAACCCATGGTACTTGAGATTTTAATTATTTGCTCCTGATATTTAAGTTTTTATGAATTATTGGCATATTTTGCATCTAGAGTACTTTTTAGTTCTATTAAAAGACAAGTTAGAAGTACAGGGTGACATCAATGCTAACCCTAGAACTGCTCATTATATATACTTAAGAAGAATGGAATAAATAGCAAAGAAAATGAATTAGTAACAATGTAGATGGTAAACATGAAATAAAACTAATTTTACAACTCGAAAGAAAAAGTAAACATTAACTGGTAGCTAAGATTCAATGACTTCAAGGGCCTAGTGGTTTTCACTGGTGGGACTACATGAAAAGGTCCCTGGTTCAACATCTAGGACCAATTTGTAATATTAACTTCTCGGTACTGCCCTGGAATTCATTTAATTGTTCTGGCATTCATTGCACAGTCAACAGCACATCAAGCCCGACACTTTTGTTTAAATATCGCCTTTAGTGCAATGAAGTACATCAATGTGTAGTTGATGTGCTGCCATATGTACGATTCATTCCCTCGTTTAAGGCTTGATACCAGGCGTAGTTGTCTGGCACATTGTTATTATGAAATTAATTGTAAGCTTTCTGCAGCTAATGCTATAGCCAAACCTGTGCTGGTAGAATACTACTAGTAGATATATATACTATATATGTAATACTACTACTAGACTAATAGTTATAATAATTTTCCAGGGAGTAGCTTATCTACATGCAATGCATCCAAAGCCGTTAATACACAGAGACCTAAAACCTCCAAACCTGTTGCTAGTGGGCTTTGGACAGCGGCTGAAAATATGTGACTTTGGCACAGCAGCTGATAAGGCTACATACATGACAAATAATAAGGGCAGCGCTGCATGGATGGCGCCAGAAGTAAGTTGAGAATATTAATGTGTGCTGTGAAAATTAAGATGCTACTGTTGCATCAACTACTTGCATGATTATACTAGTGAAATTTTTGTATAGATCAAATGAAACTGCAGTAATGAATATTTTGGATGTAAACACCTTAGTTGTAACAGTTTTGGATACTATGGCAAATAAATAAAACTGCTACATATTTTCCTGAAAACTATTAATGTTTGCTGTACATAGGGAGTCCTGATATTCTTTTTATTCATATATGAACAAACACAATGTGTCTTTTTATTATTTAAGAACTGAATTTCTAATATTAATTATTTTTGTGAAATTAAAGATCTGTGAACACCATTGACTTACAATTATATGGACGTCGGGTCCGCGCTAAAAAGTGTCCGCACTTGTAAGGCGCTACAATCGTATACAGAGCGCTACACTCCGCTTTAGTCTTCATTTGTTCTACTGACAGCGCGATACTCGATGACATTACAATTTAAATTTCGAATAGGTTGACTTGGGACATTTTTTTCGTGGTTTTTGTATTAGACCCGTCGTCCATTTATTTGTAAGTCAATGGTGAACACAAAAAAATTCGTAATGTCAACAGACTCAACCTACAGGGTTATTTGTAAAATACTAACAACCTCCCAGGACTGTATTACTAGCATCACAAACAGCAACTTTTGTTTAGAACAAAAGGGTGTTGGTGAAATTACAGGGACATGGGACTTGTCAACTTACGTGTCAGGGTGACGGGCGCAGTGGCAGTGCCCCTCAGATCTTTGCAATTAAAGCTCTGAGTGGCACTTTTATTGTCATGGACAGGCGTGTAGCTTTCCATCAGACGCACGACTTGTTCGCCCCGTCACTTGATATTATAAAAAAAACACCGAAGTATGATAAGATGCCCCAGCTATGGGAGCTAAGCCAAGTTAGCTTAGTTTCGTTCGTGGTGTGGCCTGCGCTTTAGGTAATTTTATTTATAGGCCTTCCTCTGTTCACTTATTGGCAGTGCCCTTTTAGGATTTTGTCAGTATTGTAAAAATATAAAAAAATATGGTGATCATCACTAATGTCCAGTTTCACCAAAACTAATTACTGTCCAGTAACCCATGGTACTTGAGATGTTAATTATTTGCTGCTGATATTTAAGTTTTTATGAATATGTCATTGACTTACAAATAAATGGACGACGGGTCTAATACAAAAACCACGAAAAAAATGTCCCAAGTCAACCTATTTAAACGTAGTGACATGTAAAGGAATATGAAAAAGCTAAAACGTTGAATTTAAATTGTAATGTCATCGCAGTACTGTGTAATTTTGCTTGCTTCGCTGTCAGTCGAACAAACGAAGACTAAAGCGTGAATGACGCTCTGTATACGATTTTAACGCCCTATAAGTTCGGACACTTTTTAGCGCGGACCCGACGTCCATATAATTGTAAGTCAATGGAATATGTTCAAGAGATTTCTATATAAATATAATTTTCTTGAGGGAAATTGGCATATTTTGCATCTAAAGTACTTTTTAGTTTTATGAGAACTGCTCATTCTATATACTTAAGAAGAATGACAATAAGGACTATATTACTAACGTCACAAACAGCAACTTTTGTTCCATAACTTTTAAGAATTCGTCAGATTGTACTTTCATACAAAAATAAACATATTTAAATAGGTCACTCTAAACGATGATAACTCTGTGCAAAACGCGGGTGTCGTCGGAGAGGACGCTTGAACATTTGAACTTTACTACCTTACTCCCAATTAATACAGATATCAAAAATGTCAGGTAGTACAAAAAAACTTAAAAGTTATTTATGGTATATTTATCTCGTTTTGTCAAAAGTCATGGAACAGAAATTGTTGTTTATGATCTAGTCCTGGAAGATTGTTCGCATTTAAAAAATAACCCTGTATAACTCAGTTGCTCGAGCAGTTGCCATAGATTGGCAAAAACAAATGCAAGTTTGAGTTCTGTCAGATTGAAGGAATTAAAACAAGCTAGGTCCCTGTCGTTGGAGTAATCGCTAACCATCTCTATTCTAGCCCTGACTTTGATTTCTTAATATGATACTACATTATATTTTTTCCCTTATCTGACCTAAATAACTTTATCTCGGTGTACAATGTCATTTTATTTATTTAAGCACACTGTTGACACATATGTAGAAAAATTATCCTGTCTTATAAATTTGTAGTGACTTTATTGACCATATTATTAATTATACACACATACAGCAATTTACCTAATTTACTATTACGTTTAAATGTGACTATAAATGACGACGCTGGACAGTAAAACTTCTAACGTGCATTTTTAAAAATATAACAGGAGAGTGAATTATAGTAATTTTTAAGAATAAAGTCTTAACTCTTTAATTTTATTTCTTATGTGGAAAAGCTGAAACTTTCTAGTTTTCCATATGACAAATATAGAGTCAAGGTTTTTTTTTCTAAAAATAAAAAATAACTTTAATTTGCTGCTCTCCTGTAATATTTTCCAAATGCACGTTAGACATTTTACCTTTCCAGTGTCGATATATAATACGAGTAAGTAGTACATTAATAAACAGAACGTTAATAGAACTATTTAAAAGATAACAATACAAAAGGTAAGAACAGTTATTGCATGACGTTTGAACATGTTACTATATCGACTTTGTCTAAGCTAACGTCTTTGAGCGTCCTCATATGGACTGGGAAAATTGACCCACATTAGTATGAGGTACAACAGAAATTATCTCTTGCTCAGATAACATTATTTCACAAGGCCGCCCATGATTCGCGGCGCACTTTCTAGAAACGCATTCGTCTTAGTGGAGAGGTGTATCCTCACATACCTCTCCTCTATGGACGTAAGTTTTGTAACAAACTTGAAGATATGCTATAATTCATGGAATGTGACTATAAGAAACCAATTTCAATTAAAATTAAATATATATATTTGGCAGTTTGGGAAGTTAAATGTTGTGTTGGGTGACCTGTTCGCGAAGAGGGCTAAAACTTTGTACTCATAATGTGAGGTCTTGCCTCTCACTACGAGGCGACACGATAGAGTAGAATAATCCACGGGGATTGATATCACAATGCCGACATTCACACTCAAGTACAGGCCTTGTTAAAAATAAGATTTAAAAAAATGATGAGCATGTGTGCCATGCAAGATTTAAAAGCGATCGGTCTGTGAACCATGACTTCAGTATTGACAAAATAATAGTAATAACCATGAGTCGGAATAGAGTGTTCCAAATAAGTAGATAAATGTCTACAATAAGACACAAGGAGTGATGAGGAGTGGTTAAAACCACCAAATACTGATTTAAATAATTTTTATGAATTCCGAATTTCCGTAAAGCATTTTACTGCATCGTAGGATAAAACTATTCCCCTGGAAAGCTTATGTTGGATTTTAAGTTAATTCTAGTAGTGTCATGTAAAAAATGTACCAGATAACTTACCTTTCACTGAAGTAAGCGTTAAAATTAAATTACTTTAAAATCCAACTTTGGCTTCCTAGGTGAATAGTTTTATCTTACGATGCCGTATAACTATTTCCGGAAATCCGGAATTCGAAGAAAGTAATATCAATATTTGGTGAGTTTAACCACTCGCATGTCACTCTCTATACGTTTATCAACTAATTTGGAACACCCTGACTATTGGTATTAACCTCATAACATAGTATTGATAATGCACAATAATGTTCTGTTATGTAATTTGTAATCTGTTAAATAATATAGTATCAGGTGATATTGTAGATAAAACTTGAGTGATACAGTTATATAGATCAGACAATTCAATGACTTGACTGTTTATTTTATTTATTTATTTGTCCATTCATTTACATTGCGAACTTACAGCTAAATAGCCAATTAACTTTTAATGAATATATTCTATTTGCTTATTATTTTTATCGGGGTGAGCTACTCTGGGCCTGTATAGCCCTTCAAAATCAAATATATCTTTACTTCTTAGGTATGCAAATTACACTTGAAATCGTGACATTGATTAAACTTTACTACTCATTTGTAAGGCAGGTTCCACAGAGAAGAGTAAGAAACTCTAGGGGTTGTACATAAACATTTGAAGACATTTATAATTTACTATATTTATTTCAAATATTATAAATCGAGACAATCTGAAAGAGTTATCATGGATTTTGTCAATCAAAAACGCAGAAGCTATATAATAATCATTGATGTAGATTTGTTTCACTATAGTTAGCATTAACAGCAGTAGAGATCCTTGTGAATCTGTTCGTCCAGGGAAGTACTGCCACCTACCTACCTATTTCTGCCGTCAAGCAGTAATGTTAGCATTACTGCGTTCCCGTTTAGAAGGGTTACCTATCAGTAGTTCGAAATGACATTTTCCAGAAATAACGATTGGTCGAAATTTCATAACCTCGAACATTGACTTACAAATAAATGGACGACGGGTCTAATACAAAAACCACGAAAAAAATGTCCCAAGTCAACCTATTTAAACGTAGTGACATGTAAAGGAATATGAAAAAGCTAAAACGTTGAATTTAAATTGTAATGTCATCGCAGTACTGTCTAATTTTGCTTGCTTCGCTGTCAGAAGAAACAAACGAAGACTAAAGCGTGAATGACGCCCTGTATACGATTTTAACGCCCTATAAGTTCGGACACTTTTTAGCGCGGACCCGACGTCCATATAATTGTAAGTCAATGACCTCGAAAGTAATTTTGATAGGAAAATGTTTTTTCCGTTAAACCTAACTTAACCTAACCTAATCAAACCTAATCGTGTCTTTGCGATAAACCTTCAACATACCCTGAAAGAACTGTTCCGTTAAAATTCGGTTTTCGGTGTAATGAAAATTCGAACAAACGTCATATCGTGCAAAAAAATTTCGACTTTGTGATAGGTTACCGTTTAGAAGGGTAAGGGTGCTGGTGAATTACAGGCACATGGAACTTGCCAGTTTATGTCTCCAGAGTGACGGGAGCGGTAGCAGTGTCCCTCAGATCTTTGCGATTTAAAGCTCTGAGTGGCACTGCAACTGTTATGGACAGGCGGGTGACTTACCACCAGGCGCACGACTTCTTCGTCCCGTCACTTGATATAATATAAAAAAAAATAGTTTTAAACCTCATAAATGGCAAAATTTGAATATCCACTCCACGACCACGACCTCCGCTTAGGTCCTGGGTTCGTTCCCCGGCCGGGTCAATGTAGAAAACTACACAATCAACAATACAAACAACAACACAATCTTATACTAACTAGGTCTTCTCTATGAGAACTACTTATGTCGTCTGTATGAATTTGCAGGTGTTTGAAGGATCATCGTATACAGAAAAGTGTGACGTGTTCTCATGGGGCATCATCCTGTGGGAGGTGCTGTCGAGGCGAAAGCCCTTCGAGGAAGGCGGCTCGGCGTTTAGAATAATGTGGGCTGTGCATACAGGTACGTTCAATTGTATTTTATCATACAATTTTACACTGATCTCGTGACTTGTAGGTATATTACATTCAACAACGGGAACTATAGTTATGCCATTTAGCATGTCAAAACAGATATTATTATTTTTATTGAATATATAAATACTGCACTATAGTCCATTTCACACATGGATACGGTGTACTTACGAGATGTAGTGTTGTAAAATCGAATGAAAAAAAAACATTTAAATATGTTATCGAGATTGTTTGTAACCAAGGGAGAATTGACTTAGAAATTATAGTATAAGAACAAATAATAAACATTCAATATAAATAATATAATAAAAAAGATTCAATTATTATGTTATTAAGGTACTAAAAAACTACACAACAAATTAAAAAATCAACCAAACAAAATTAGTCAATAAAAATTATAACGCACACACACACTCAACATAGCCCCGCACTAGGGTAGCCCTGTGTCGCGGGTGCCATGGACACACACATAGACAACCACAAATTACACCCTAACTCACGAGAGAAATAAATGTAGGCCATACAAATATTTCTTCCGGCCCGGGAATCGAACCTGTGACCACTGCGTGGCAGCCCGGCATGGTAACCGTACGGTCACGGAGGCAATGAAATCACAGCAACGTAACGAAATTTGAACAAATACTCCAAAAACATCATGCAAGGCTCAAAACCCGCTTGCAAGGTATACGCGTGATGATGAAATGGACTATAGTTTGTTATTATTGTAGTCATAAATATCGAACAAACAAAAGAAATATTACTTCGATCTGACTGGAAGTGAACCAGTGTGTGTTGCCTCAACAGGCACTGGTTCAAATTTGATTCGGGTTAGGTTTTTTAAATATGTATAATTTACCAATCGATAGGATCATTGATAACAATAAAAGCGCTCCAATAAACATTGGATCTTAGAGCGTTAGAGCACTGCGTCCGATCCGTATAATTACCGAGTCGTCTGAAGTAGTACTATGACTATTTATATCAGGATTTACGCACTAAACCCGAATTTCATCTTCCGAAGTCTAGAATTCCGATCATAATAATTTCTTGAACCGAAATAACTGCGGTATTATTTGTAATTAACGTGTACACTGCGTCCGGGGTGGAAGGAAGGAGCAGGTATCAATAAATATATATGTATAAAAAGAAAACAAAAGCCTTGCTATTTTTTTTATAATACTAAATGACGAGACAAACAAGTCGTGTGCCTAGTGGTAAGCGACACGTCTTACAGTTGCAGTGCCACTCAGAGCTTTAAATCACAAAGATCTGAGGGGCCCTTCCACTGCGCCAAACGCCCTGAGGACATATTATGTTGACAAGTCCCCATGTGCCTGTAATTTCACCACCATCATCATCAAACCTTTCGAGCCCGGAACGCAGTAATGCTCACATTACTGCTTGGCGGCAGAAATAGGTGAAGTGGCAGTACTTCCCTGGACGAACTCTTACACAAGGAGCTCTACTGCTACTAATTATCTTGCCTTAGTTCATCGTGATTATTATAAAATGTTCCTCTGAAAATTGAATTCGTCATTAGAACTTGTACCCAGAACTTTGTTTCCTTAGTGATTTGGTAGGCAAACTCAAACTCATTAATGTTTATTTCATATGTAAGCAAATTACACTTGAAATAGTCATATTGATTAAACTGCTGTTCATTCGTAAGGCAGATTCCCCCGAGAAGATTAAGAACTAGGGGCTGCTCTTTATAAATAAACATTTGCAAACATTTATCGTTTACAATGCAAGAGCTAACCTGAACTAACTGCGGGTCACTAACCATGGAATTTTGTCATCCAAGTACGCATAAATTTTGTAATAACCACTGGAATTAAGGGGGTTAATCTACCTAACGTATGAACGTTTTATTAGTATGGACATAACCGATTTCGTCGTCAAAAAAGTTTTTTTTTTACTGTTTTTTTTTTTCTAAACAGTCCAAAGTATAAGTTGTCTCAATGTTTATTTTTTATCAAATTATTTAAATACAATACTACAATATTAATTTTTGAGACATTAATTTGTAGCGAATACTAAATAGGAAATAATAGTAACTTAGTATCTTAAGGGCAATTGATTTTTAAGGTTTTTATAATTTGTTTTATTTATATTGGTGGCAATAAAGAGATTTTATTTATTATTTTTATAATAATTTGTCGCCAATGTACTCAAATTTCAATAAATACGCTATTCAAATATATTTCGAGAAGTCCTGGAATTTTTAGAAGGGAACGTCCGCGTTATTCTTTAGTTTAGCTAAATTGTCAATTGGACATAGTTATGCAAACAAGAACCAACCCACACCTCGAGTGAAATTGAGCTATGTACTTAGGTAGAACACCAGACGTGTCTTTTACTCGCTCACAAAAGATCCTGGCAATATACCAAGCCAAAACGGAGAAAATAAAAGTCCTTCAGGGTACCAACCCTAAATAAGTAACCTTTTAATATCTAAAAAGAACCATGCTGCTTAACTTCATAATGTATTTTTTTTAATTTTTAATTAAACTTAACCAAAACCTATTTATTTCTTCACACTATTTTTACAAAATCCAATTATCTCGAAAGTGACATTTTGTGGGTTGGTTCTAGTTTGCATTACTGTGTCCAATTGCGATCGCCGATAGGAATCTTTAGTATAGTTTTGTACATAGTTTTAAACCTCGTAAATGGCAAATTTTCAATATCAGTCTGACTGTAGAAACGACGTGCAGACAATGTCACGAACAGCTAGTTTATTTGTTTTTCTCGGATTCATGTTATGTTTAATAACTGCCTCCATGGGCGAACGGTTACCATGCCGGACTGCCACACAGAGGTCCCAGGTACGATTCCCGGGCCGGGAGAAATATTTGTATGGCCTACATTTATTTAACTCGTGAGTTTGGATGACATTTGTGGTTGTCTCTGTGTGTGTCCATGACACAGGGTTTTCCCTAGTGCGGGACCATGTTGAGCGTGTACGGTATTGTATTATTTGTCTGAAATAATTTACTATTTTTCTTGACATAAATTACATTTTCATAAATGTACTATTATGCTACTGTAAGAATGTTAATTTATTTTCTTCTCTGAATTTCACTCTGGGCCCAGATTGCAAATTGCTCTAACTGCACGTTTTTACACGACAAATACTCTATTAATATCTGCGGCTAGAGTAGTGTGTGTATTAGGTATTAGGACATGTATTAATTTTATGAGACCTGCAGCAGTGTAGTGTGACAAATTGAAGGACTATACAACTATTAAACGCCTTTAATGGTCGCCTTTAGTAGCTAATTTAAATATGACAAATCCAACATGAATCACGTGAAGCTTTAAATAAAGATGCCACAAGGTAGTAAGATCATGCCATTGTTTAAGCTTCATTGGTTTAACTTGTGTCTTTATAAACAATCGCGTTTTTAAGTACATGAGTGGTGTTTACTGTGAGCGCTGAATAAGGAAGTCCCGGTGTCGATTCCCGGTAGGAGCAAATTGGGAAATTAATTTTTCCTAAATTGGTCCTGGTCTGGGTGTTCTGGGAATTGCCTCAGAGTGATTCCGTTGATCTGGTACTCATAGTACAGGTATATTCCCTAGTTTTAGACCAGGCAATTGGTGTTGTCTGGCACGTTATTATTATATATATTTTTAGACTCTATCCTCTTTCATGACCTAAAATTTTATTTTTTTATGGGAAAGGCGGTATTCCCCGGTAAAGGCACAGTCGGCTGGAGTCAGAGACTCAGATTCAAGAACCGGCGAGCAGTACGTGCCGCATCGTGCGTGATTGCTTTCTGCATTTCGCTGCTTCTCGAGAATAGTGGTCCAAAATTGTGATTATTTACATGTTATGCAGATATATAACTGCCTCAGTGGCCGAACGGTTACCATGCCGGACTGCCACGCAGAGGTCCCAGGTTTGATTCCCGGGCCGGGAGAAATATTTGTATGACCAACATTTATTTCTCTCGTAAGTTTGGGTGTAATGTGTGGTTGTCTATGTATGTATTAATGGCACCCGCGACACAGGGTTTCCCTAGTGCGGGGCTCTGTTGAGTGTGTACGTTATTATTATATTTAGACACGAGTTCTTTTTATTTATTTGTTGTAAAGCAAAACAAAACCTTATAACTAATTACTATCCAGCCTTTTTACAACACTAATAAGCAATTTTAATTTGACATAATTTCCTAAAATAGAAGTAACTTATATAAAAAAAATTGTCCATCGACAAAATATATTTTAATATTAGTTACGGGGAAGACACTTCATTTATATTTTCATAGTTACAACGTGTTACGAACGCTTTTTTCGCGCAGCGTTTGCATTCTTTGAACCTTTATATACATCACTAGAAAAGTGTATTAGCCGTCAAGAAGCCTTGTGAACCCCACTTTGGTAATACATATGCTCTAAATTTATTATAAACCAAAGTTTTGTTGAACATCTTTCAGGTCAAAGGCCAAACTTAATAGAAGGCTGTCCGGAACCTATAGAGAAATTGATGACGCAATGTTGGCACAAGGTACCCGCGGAGAGACCGAGCATGACCGAGGTATTTACTCAATTTGAATTATTATAGCATGTTATTACTTATATCAAGTTTTTATTAACTCGTATACAACATGTAAATCTATTTATCTACTACTGTACTTTATTCTGTCAATCATAATTTCACAAACCATATCGTAAAGGCGCTCTTTTTAGTTCTGAATCAAAATTCTATTGTCTATGGTACTCACCACTGAGCTGAAAAATTTCATTAAAGTTCTGTACACAGAACTACAATGAATTTCAGAAAAAAGATGGTCGTATTTTTGCTAATTGAAATATCAATTAGGACGTTACTCAAACGTTACACTGCCTCCTGTTGGGCTAGCCCAGTGGTGCGCGACTTGCGCAGAGCGACATAAAGCGCGAGATACAGCTATTCTCGCATAGCGATCCCTCGCTTTAGGCGCTCTTGCGCAAGTCGTGACCCGTCGTGCTAGCCCTACTGATGGGTTAAATTGGCCAAAAAGTCTTGCAACCAGCACAGATATTTTGACCCTTTCTACGTAAAGTATCGTATGTCGAAATTGTCACGTTTACAGGAGAGTAAACACGTGACTTTAGCATTTCTCAGTTTTACTCGGCAAAGAGGATGTTAGATGAACAACCACTATTTATTTTATAATTATGCGCGTTTCAGTGAATTCAAAACTTTGAAACGGTCCCCTGTAAACTTGGCAATTTCGACATACGATAGTTTACATAGGAGGGGTCGATTTAATAGTGACTACGTAACTACCAGGCCATAAATCTTTATAAAAATAATATTGAATGTAATTTATGCGGTACTTGTTCAGCTCTATTCTATCTCTTTGATTCTTTGTTTTGTATCGTTTGTTAAGCTTTTGTCTAAATATATGTAGAGGCTGTATGGTGGATCATTGCCTAACCTAATAAATGAGTTATTTTTTTTTTAATGCGTTCGTTGTCATTAATTGTTAAGAAAATATACATTAAATCTGTCTCATTACTTTATTGATTTTACTTGTAGAAAAAGTACTGTATGCAATCATTACATAATTAGGTTTTAAAATCTCTTCTTACTTAGGCCACTCGGCTTGGGGGGCTTTAGTGGGGTAGGCCCTCCAGTCTGGAGGGAGAGTCCCCACATAACCCCTGAGTCTCAGGGATATCTATAAAGATATCCTCCGTCAAAAAAAAGGCTACTCGGCTTAAGAACCCTTATTATGCAACGATTGCATAAAATACTATTTTATTTATTTATTAAAATTTTTACATCGTTTACTGTTTGACGACCTCGTTGGTTTTACACTGTGGGCGCTAAATGAAAACGTCCCGGGTTTGGTTCTCCGGGAGTGTTTTAATGCCTAATTATGTACATACAGTGCTTTATCTATACACATATTATAAGCTCTCTATGATGTGTTCAGGAACCGCAAGTTACGACCGGCATTGCGGCATTGATCAGAGCTTTTACGAGGGTCAAACTGAAAGTTCTTAGAAAATTAAAAACTGATTACATTAGCCAGTTATTAGTTTTATTATATCTTTTCAAAATATTGTCCATTCACGTCAATACACCGCTGCATGCGATGGAACCACTGGGAAAAGCACTTTGCCCACTCGTCCTTAGGGGTCTCTTCAATGGCATCGCGATACGCAGCCACCGCTTCTTCAGCATTCATAAACCGCTTTCCTTTAAGTTTTTCTTTAATTTTTGAAAATAAATAAAAATCACAAGGCGCGAGGTCGGGGCTATACGGCGGGTGACCCAATAATTCAACGTTTGATGTCCCCAAATAGTCGATCGTTCGCTTGGCGGTGTGCGACGAGGCGTTGTCGTGGTGAAGGAGGATCCTACTGCGAGGTCGTTTCTCTCGAACTTTTTCCAAGACAAGTGGCAAACAATTGGTAGTGTACCATTCTGCAGAAACTGTTTTTTGATCCTCTAACACAATTGTTGCGAAATGACCTATCCTTCCAAAGAACGAGGCCACCATTTTTTTTCCCGCACTTCGATCTCTCTTCACTTTAGTTGGCAACTCCTCGAAAGGAAACACCCACTGAGCAGATTGTCTTTTGGTTTCAGGATCATAACAGTAAATCCAGCTTTCGTCACCTGTTAGTATGTCGAACACAGCATTTGAGTCACCTCCGTTAAATCTTTCAATCATTTTACGGCACCAATCCACACGATGGAGTTTTTGAGCCTCAGTCAAATTATGAGGTATCCACCGGGCGCAAAGCTTCCTGACCGCTAAATGTTCGTGGAGGATTTTGTGCACTTGACTCATACCGATGCCTAAGCTTGTCCGAATCTGCTGATAGGTCACTCTTTTGTCAGTCTCTATCATACGCCGCACAACACAGATGTTATCTTCAGTCGTCGCCGTAGAAGGCCGTCCCTCACGTAAATCATCAGTGAGATTAGTGCGACCACGTTTAAACTCATTAAACCAGTTGTAAACAGTCGCACGAGATGGGGCTTCATCGTGAAAGGCCAATCGTAGTCTATCATAACTTTCTTGTTGACTTAAATGACATCGAAAGTCATAAAAAATCATTGCACGAAAATTTTCTCGTGTTAAATTCATGTTGACGTGACACAGACAATTTTCAATTTGCCGCCAAATCGTAAAACAAATGACAAATGAATGAAATATATACTCAGTAATATTGGCAAAGAGTTCTATTTTCAAATTTAAGAATTATTTTTTTATTATATTGTTTATAAGTGGCCAGTTCTAAGAACTTTCAGTTTGACCCTCGTAGCAGTAATTATTAGTAAAATAATGCAAAAACAAACTAAATGGCGGCAAATTAAAACTTCTCACGCGTGTCACGCAACCGCAGTTTTTTTAATTCATGGACAAACCAGAATCGGCCCCAACTATCATATCAATCGATATCTAGTAACGTGTGAGATTTGTCAAAATTGACATTTCATTTTGAATAAAACTGCATCTCGACCGATATTAGAATTGAGGTCGAATCAAATCGTTTTGTTTTTCAGAGATATTCGAAATTTTAATGAAATAATAAAGTCGAATTATTGTTATTATTAAGCAATAATAACGTTTTCACGTACAAGAAATTTGTTCTAACAAAACAGTTTTATCTTTTTTTTAATTAAATGGTCTCTTGCTCTTGACCACTACCTAGCTCTGGTGCAAAGATAGGATCTACGATGGAACGAACTCGCCCAAAAGACGCCTATTCAGTCTCACCTTAAAGGTACCCGGGTTGTATGAGTTCGAAAACACAGTGGCAGGCAGGGAGTTCCATTCCTGGGCTGTGCGCATAATAAAAGATGATGAAAAGCGTTTAGTACGCCTGAAGGGAATCGACCAAGTAAGGATGATATCCCGCCGTACGTCTGGATGTCCGATGGTAAAAGGGGGCGGGAACACTCACCGAAATATACTCTGTAAAAAACCGACAGACAACTTGGCGCCGGTGGGCTAAGCTATGAAGTTTAGATTCGAGCTTATCGTCCCCAATAAGTCTCCTGGCTCTGCGCTCAATCGGATCAAGAATGTCAAGTTGATACTTCGCTGAGCCATCCCACAGGTGACTACTCCATGCAAGATCGGACTTGTGCTTTATATAAAGTTAAGAGCTGTCCAGGCGTGAAATATCGCCTAACCTTATTAAGGATACCCAGGTTTTTGGCTGCAATTTGTACCTTTCATTCAATATTAGCGCCAAAGTTAAGGGTTGCGCTCAATGTTATAGCAAGGAGATCCAGGCTGTCGGTAAGAGATAAAGATATACCTCGAAAAGCGGGAGTCAGATAAAATTTACTCCTTTTAGCAGAAAACAGACAGGCCTGCGTTTTGGTGGCGTTGAACTCGACCAGATTGTCATGTTCCCACTGAGAGACGAGACTTAAGGTCAAGTTCGTCCGCTCCACTATGGCCTCTCAACAAACGGATAACTGTCTGATGTCTTTTGTGCTGGACAGATATCTCTCCATAACAGTGCTGTCATCTGCATACCCAACAGTACCTGGGACTAGCAGGTCATTGATGTGTAGCAGGAAATGAGTCGCAGAGAGAACCGACCACTGAGGAACTCCGGTCAAATCAATATCCTTCGATGACTACTCTGATTGACCGTTCATGAAGGAAATCTGATATCCAGTTACAAAAGTCAGCAAGGTTGCCGTGAGCCGGATGCTTGCTCTGCAGACTTGCGTGCCAAACCTCGTCAAAGGCCTTCGAGAAATCTAGACACGACTATCGCCTCGCCGTATTTCTTCTCTATTTATGCTGGTCGTAATTTGCTGTTTTTGAACACATCATAGAGGGTTTGTGACATGTGTGTGGATAAAATAAATGTTTCCAAGTTGTGTATCGTATTTGGATGTGTTTTCAGGTGGTAGAAAAAATGACAGCTCTGTGCGAGTTCTTTCCGGGCGCCGACACGCCGATCGACTACAGCGACTGCGAGGAGCGCGAGTACAGCGAGAGCCTGGACGGCGACTACGCGGCGTACGACACGCGCGAGGGCCTGGACACCGACCCCGAGTTCGGCACCGAGCGAAGCGCGCGGCACGACCCCGAACCGCGCCCGCGCAGCTTCGTCGAAACACAAGTCAGTAAACTGCAGACCCTCATGGCGGCCGAGGCTCACCCCAAAACGGCAGCGCTGCCCAGAGACGAGCCCGATCTGCACAATAGAATAGGCCCCGTGCGCATACCGCAGACGTTCAAAAAGCCCGACCGCTACGCGGACGCCGGCCGGTCCCCGGTCACCATAAACCGGACGTCCAGCTCCCCGGTGCCTTCGGAGAGGGCCTATATGCCCGGCGAAGGCGGCACCCCCCAGGACAGTCTACGCGTTGTCAGGAGCCCGGTAGTGTTCAGTGAGAGCTCCTCCCCTAGAAGACTATCACCGATAGTTAATTACAATATCGGCAACATGAACCCGAGACATATAGACATAGAGCAGTACTGGAACAGAGAGAACGACAAACTGTCCCCGGCCAGGAGCCCTTCCGTGCTAAGTAGTTCCAATTCGGTTAGGAAAGAGGATTACAATCAGAACTATTGTGATAGATTGAGCGCTGGCAACAGCCCCATGACACCGTTGAAAGAATACAACGGGAACATACCGCAGAGATTGCCATTGGACCCAAAGTACAGGACGCCGTTATCGATCGAAGTCGATCCTGTAAGTTCTGCGAAACTTTGTCTATGCACCCACTGCAACATACATGTTATATGTATTTCTTATGTAGTTAGAACGTCTGCATGCCCACTAACATTTGAATTATACTATTGCGTTTTATTGCTTTCTTAAATCTTTTTTTTTTTGTGTTATTTCAGAACTCATGGGATCTCCCAGATGTGAATTTCGACGACGATTTATTAGAGATCAAAAACACTGCCGGATTCGATAAATTCTTCGCGCATGGTGAGTACTGCATGGTTTTTTGACTTTGCAATCATAGGCGTGGCATTTATAATGGAACTTTAAAACCGTCGACAATCCGGAGGACTCCACGAAGTCGTATTTTAATTGAAAATAGTCTCAGGCTCACCCGTTGTCACACAGCGATGTGACCTACGGATCAGGTTCATGGTCTACCTAACCCAGTGGTATACAACCTTGATGGCATGTATGTTTTTTGTGATACTAAGTGACGGGACGAACAAGTCGTGCGCCTGATGGTAAGCGACACACCTGTCCATAACAGTTGCAGTGCCATTCAGAGCTTTATATCGCAAAGATCTGAGGTGCACAGCCTCTGCGCCCATCATCCTGAGACATAAGTTGAAAAGTCCCATGTGTCTCTAATTTCACCAGCACCCTTACTCTTCAAAACCGGAACGCAGTAATGCTCACATTACTGCTTGGCGGCAGTACATCCTTAGACGAATTGTTTCACAAGGCGCTCTACTGCTATTAAAATATGTGTAGCACTGCAATCAAATCCATAGGTTGTAAATAAATATTCATATTCGGAAGTGTTATACTCCGTCCAACCAGTTATTATATACTTTTGACATAAGCGTGCCTATAACGTTTCATAATTATTGACAAGCAACCATAGACAAAAAAATGCAATACTTCATGGACTATGTTTTTCCTTTACTATGTTGTACTCCCATGTTGATTTTTTATCAAGCCGACAGATTATGTAGCGAAGATTATTCAAATTAATTTCTTCGTTGTTATAGGTTTTGGTACCTATCTAATAAATTATAATGAAAATAAATAAATTTGAAATAATTTTAATAAATTGTAATAGTTTACTGTAACGCCGAGGTCGCACCTTACCCCATTTCTTAATACCTGATATAATGTTGAAAATGATACTGTGTTAAATCGATTATTTTAAAATACTAACAACATCGCAGGACTATAAAACCTAACATCATAAATATCAATTTTTGTTAAATCACTTTTTACAAAACATAATAAATTTACCAAAAATAAACTTTTAAGTACACAAACTTTCATTTCCGACGAACGTATAATTCCATTGTGTTTAGTTGTAAAAATAAACATTAATAATATTTTTAGTGAATTAACTAAAATGTTAATAGTAGATAGATAGAGATAATCATTTTATTCACTATTATGACACATATAAAGATTAAATAGAAAAGTTGTTGTTAGGTCACTGACTTAGCATATGCCTAATTCCCTGAGAGGCTAGTTTTCAGTAGAATACATACGTAATTTAATTAGTTCAATACATAAATTCGTTGTTGTTTTGTCCTTAAAAGAATGTAGTTTGTAGGACGCTGCTACAAATTTACGTCGTCTTAATTTTGCCGAGCTATCATTCTAACCAAGCTAAATTGTACGGAGTATAGGTGTCGAATAATATAAGAAACCATACATGTATAATAGTGTTGCAATCATAGATTTAGTATATAGGTCCCCATAGATTGGCAATGCAAGTGAAAGAGCGTTAGTATACACGTATGTTAGAGCGAGATGGGTAGACGAGACCACTTCATTATATGCTCTGAGCCTATATGAACCTAGGGTCAGCTAACAACGAAACAAATTGCGTTTATTTTTGAAAAATAATTGGTTTTAAAATTGAAAATGTGAAATAGTGTTAAACGGACGTTTATTAGTCATGGTAACGTGTTCAGTGCCCAGTTGTAACTCATCTAAAAAGGAAAACTCGCAGAATTGTACATTTCACATGTAAGTACTATTGAAATTTTTAGTTGTCTAAAAGCCCACAAAAGTTTTTTACATAAATATATCCGTAAAATTATACCATTCAAGTGCATTAATAACCCAAATGTATACGAATTCAATTAAAAAATATATCAAATACGTGAATTTCTGAAATTCATAACCCCACTTTCATATAGATTGACGCAATCGATAATATGTTATCGAGATGTCATTTAACTGACAAAACTGAAAAAAAGAAAGTCAAAGGCGTGGCTTGCATACAGCTGAAATCATCTTCATACTTAATATTATTGAATCAGAAATTTCTGGTTTTAGTACTTTATATTTAATTAATATTGCATTAGTGCATTATTTTTTGTCTACATTAAAACGAAAATTTCTTTTAATAGCGTAGTTGAGGCACCCATTTTTTTATGTTAATTATTGTTGTTGATTCAGATTTCCTCAAAACATTGAAGTACGACAGAAATGGCTTATAATGCTAAAGAGAGAAGACTGGGTTCCCAAAAAGTTTTCAAAAATATGCAGCAAACACTTTGAGGTCAAATGCTTTTCCTTTAGAGGCAAGCAAAGAGTAAAGCTACGTTCTGGTTCTGGTAATCCTTCGTTAGAGTTCTGTTCCGAAATACGATACTCATATAGGATCACTTGTGTGTCCGTCTGTCACAGCCAATTTACTTCAAACCTACTGGACTGATTATTTTGAAATTTGGTACACATATGCATTTGTGTGACCAAAATGTATAACGTAAATAAATTAATTCTGAATTTGAAGTCACTATTGGGAGGGAAAGTTCTCAAGTATATATTTTTTGTAATTTTGAAATATAAATATTTTTAATATTGTTCAAGAGAATAGACAAGAATTGATCAGTCTCCCCTTTATCTTCGAAACTACTGGGTCTAAAGTTTTGAAAAAAATACAGAAATTGTCTTTAAATCTCTTACTATTGTGCGAATAAACATATATTTGCTGTTGGAATCTACTGGAGAACATTATTCTTCAACTACAATGTTAAGTTTGTACGGAAACCTCTCCGCGCGAGTTCAACTCGCACTTGGCCGGATTTTTGGTTCTATTACTTATCTGCAAATTCACTGCTGTGATGCACTTCTATGTCATCATATCATACAATAATTATAATAGTTATATTTGTAGGTTACATTGAAGCCAAGACGTAAGGTATCTCCATATGTGTACAGAGATATATCGCCAGTACCCAGTAGCTCTATAAGACGTTTGCGAGAAGACATTTTGGTGAATAGGACGAAGTGAAATGCCGGTGTAATATGTTAATCGATATTAAAGGTAAATCAGTGGATGGCGCAACACTATTTATCTTGCACACATGCACATTATACGCACACAGATGTATTTTTGTTTTGGTCTCTCTATCAATCTATGGATATACTAAATCTATGGTTGTAATGGTCACTCGAGGGCTGAGTGCAATTTAACTCCAAAAATTTAACTCCCACGTATCAGTATCTGGACCTAACTACGTATTATATCCGATTCACACAATTCCACGAAACCATAATCAGTTTGTCCATATACGTCATAATCAGGTTCATAGGTGTAGCCGTTTTTGTATCGCACGAACTTTTGGAATATGCATTTTATACGCGTATATTTATTTGTATATTGGTTTAACAACACTTAACATTTACGTACATTACTATAACAACAGAAGTCCAGTGTGTAAGCCATTTACATCCGAACACATCATCGACGACTATTTGAACATTGTTACATAACGATTAAAATACATTTAGTTCTTATTGCTATCATCCAGTTAAAGGTTTAGATACTAATTCACTTACAGACACAGTACAGAGCACTAAAAAACTGACCACAAAAGTTCCTGGAATTACATCTATTTACCAAGTTTTATTGAAATCGATTACCGGAAAGTACGCGAAACCGGATTCATCTCCTAATCTGCCACGCTTAGAGGTGGAATTTTTTCTTCAAATGTAAACGGGACCTCTTCTGAGGTACCCTATTTCCAACAAAAAAAATCATCAAAATCGGTTCACAAATTATCGCGTAACATCAATGCAAATAAAACATAAATACAGGCGAATTGAGAACTTAGTCCCTTTTTTGAAGTCGGTTAAAAATAATGCAGCCAATTTTATTGTGTAGTGATGTAAATGCTTCAGGTCTCAATGTACCTACTCACTGAAACGGAGTCAGTTGAAAAGAGACAATAAATCATTTACGTTTAGTCACTACATACTTCTGTCATGTTTAACCTACTTTGAATAAGGAGTAGGTTCTCAATACGACTGTTTATTTTGTGTATGTTACATGAGTACTCCGTATTTGTGAACCGGTTTTGATAATTCTTTTTTTTTTTGCTGGAAAGACAAAAAAAACCTCAGTATTGGTCTCATTTAAATTTGAAGAAAATATTCTTCCTTTAAGGGTGGCAAACTAGGGGATGAATCCGGTTTCGCGCACTTCACGGTAACCAATTGTTAACATTTTAGTTTGTATGTACACATAAACAAAGTTTGAAGTCGGTTCCTTTTTTTTTTTTCAATAAAAATTAGAGTTATTCTGTAATCAAATTCATGATGACTTTAAAAAAACAATAATTACAATACAATTAAACATATGTAATTTACCTTCACTATATATTTATTATTTTCCATATTATTGCCGTATTACTTGATACAGTTGTCATAGTCTACTTCACTGACTCAATATGTTTGAAGGTTGCGTTTAACGGTTGCATAACGCACTTCATATTGCACTGTTAGTACAATAGTAATTCAAAAAGTTAACTTCCTCGGAATCGATGAAAAACGAAATACTCACTTCCCGCAAAGAATCATTAAAATTTATGTATGTTATGGTTTATTATAGACACTTAAACAATTTATCAAATATATTTTAAAATGAACTGGAAAAAATAATTTAATTTTTTGAATAGAATTATTTTGGCCAGAACTAGCTCACATAAAGTGTCTCATTTTGAGTTAAGTATATCGATATCTTTTCATTATTTCTTACAATATTGTAACGACGGTTTTTTTGACGTGTAGAGAATCAAATGTTACGTTCAATAATAGTAATTATATAAAATTGAATTTCACACATTTTGAGTTACAACACTATTGTAATAGCAGTGCGATGTATTTAAAAAGACAACAATAAGCAAAAGACGAAACCAAAGACAAAAATATTAAAAATATAGAAAGGATGGTGCTGTCGTGCGCATTTTGATCCATGGGACCTACCT